TGAAACATGCAAAAAAATAAGAAATCAGGAAGGGGGCCAACACTTTTTCACACCACTCTATAGTAGGCTATATTACATAATTATATTGTAATATTATATAATGTTGTGCGCTGTCACGCCCACTGAAGGCTCGTCAGTAGATCACACGTGCGCGGCTTGCGCTGAAGTGAACTAACCCTGGAACATAACCTGCTCCGGAGCAGGTTATCTTCAGAGAGCAAGTTACTATGGTTACTTACATACCCTGAAAGTAACCTCCGATTTTGGAACCGAAAGCTGAGGTTATCCGCTCGCTTATCCTCAAACATACCCGGGTATGTCACATAACCTGCTTTTTGGAATACCCCCCTGGTCTTGCTTTTAGTGTTTGTCTTTCTATGAAATCTCTTACTTGCCAGTTATAGTTGATACTGTTTTGTTCTTACTCTTTAGAAAAATGGTTCAAAACAGTACCAGATTAGGGTTCTTCTACAATAACAGAACCCTTTTGGTGCTAAATATAAATTTTTTATAAGGTTCCATAAATAGCCATGCTTTGGAAGTGCTATATAGAACCTTAATGGTGTTATAAAGAACTTTTTAAATAATAGTTTAATTTATTATTATTATTCGTTTATAATGTTATTTATTAATATTATGCTTTTATTGCTTTATCTGCCTGGTTTTATAATACTTTATAGCTTCTGTTAGTGTTACTTGAATAAAACTGAGAAATCATGTCAATTAGGTACTTGTATTTTTGATTGACACAGAAAATTGTAGCAAAAATGACAGTGCTCTAACAACAGTAGCTTAGCACATTAATAAATGATAACGTTTGACATTTTTAAAATTAGTAATTGCATAAAGAAATTAAACCAATCCAAAACACAAAATATATGCAATGAAGTGAATTCCATTTGAAAACATCTTGTGAATTAGTGAAATATTTTCGCAGTCCAATGTGTTATTACATGCTTGTATTGGTGTAATTGAGTAATAGTTTCTCTCTGCAGATGGTAAGCTTCTGTCTGGGTAGAAATACACATTTGAGTTTAGAGTCACAGTGCGTCTCCTCCATTTGTAAAAGCAGTTATGCTTATGAAGGCCAAAAGTAGCCATTGTGAATGGACAGTATTTGAGCTTTTGGGATAACTTAAATGTTTTTGTGGCTGGGTGTGATGAAATAATTTTTTGACAGTTAAAAAAAAAACAGAGGTCGACATTGCAGGCCAGCACTTTGGGTAAACTTAAAATCACACTGTGTACTAACAATTGCAGCAAACAGTCGCTGGACATAACTCCAAAGAGCCAGGTCCGTTGACAGCCAACGGAGGACACACTCCCAGCACACAAAGTTGAATACACAAGTTCACAGATCATAAGAACGGCAGCAATCTTACCGGCACTCATACTCAGTAATTCATATATTCACTCACCCAGTCAAACCAAACTGAGCCAAGTCCAGCGGTCAAGAACATTGAGCGATTCAATTACACAGCGCCATACTAGCACTACAGGGCACAGAGGACTACACGACTTAAGTGAAACCACCTTACTCACAGGGGGTGTGGCCAAACACTGAAGGCAACCTATAGCCAATCAGTTGTCACCTATCTGCACAGACAAAACGTGTGGTGCAAAAGAGGAAATCTTGAGGTTGTAAAATCGAGGAAAAGTGTTCTGAGAAGACCAGCCAGGGCCAGACAGATGTCCTGAATTTACATTCCTTTAGCCTAAGCCCACAAAGAAGCCATGCTTCTGGTAGAGTGAGCGCAGGCTCCAAAGGGGCAAGTCTCTCGTTTAGAAGCATATGCCAATGCTGTCGCTTCTACAATCCAATGAGACAAATTTTGAAACCAGCAGCCCATAATTGTAGCCTTTGAAACAGATAAACAACTGCTCAGACAGTCTAAACTAGCTAGTCCTGTCCAGATAAACATGCAAGACAAGTTCCATAGATGCAGCGTCCATAGACAGTGAAAATAAATCACCCACTCTTTTAAAGCATGCCAGCGTGAGTAAGAGAGCTGTCTTAAAAGAGGGCACTGTAATGTCTGCCATATGTACCAGTTTAAAGGGTGGCTCGGAAAGTGCACTAAGCACCAGGGACAGGTTAGGACGAGGAGGATTTAGCTGCCATTCAGCATCTGCCCAACACACTGACCTGCCAAATGTGTAGGTTCCACAGTTCCGGCTTGGGGCACTTTGCCCCTCACCTGGGAGAGCAGATCCCACCATAACGGAATTGGCCACAGGGGAGCCAAAACAAGCTGTATCAATTCCAGAAACCAAGGCTGGTTGGGCAAGGTTGAGTCCTGATCTCACAACCTGAACTCTTTCTTTGGAAAGAAAACATTCTCCATGGACTGACCCACCCCTGGATAGCATATGATTGAGCAGAGTTCATTGAGATCATTGAGTTAACTAGTCTCAGCTTCAGACGTCACACCCATGGACCGTTGGCTGAACGTCTGATGCATATGGCACACAAAATTGGAAACACTTCAGGAGTTTCAAAGTCGTCATCTGATTGGTTGAATTATACAGGATTTCTGGGATACGTGTGTTATTGTAAAACATTAAACATGACGCAGCACATAGCGAAACATGATTGGTCGCTTTACCTGTCAGTGATATGGCCTCTTGGGCGATCCTTGGCCATTAAAAGCGGCCAAGGTTCCCAGACCTTCTGCCTTCAGTCTGAAGGTCTGGCTACACGAGACTAAGACCAAACATGCATTTGAAAGATGCGTCATAGTTTGCGAATTTAAGTTCATGCCCATGAACATGACGCTCTGCGTGGGAAGAAGCCTGCTCTTCTGCATGTTGATTGACAGCCTGAAATCTTTCAGGTAAGTTAAGAGCTGAAGTTTGTGGCTTTCTAACATGTCCTGAGATCAGACTAAAATAAGCCAATCAATTGTCCAAATAGTTCAGGATGCATATTCCACTGTGCCTGAAAGGGGAAAGAGCTGTTACGCACATTTCGTGAAGGTTCCCTGAGCCAAAGCCAGCCCAAATGGAAGAACTTTGAATCGATAGGCTCTGCCTTCGAACGCATGCTCTGCTGCCATATATGCTTTCTCTGCAATATGGGCAGTAGTGTGCCACCTTTAGAAGGAAGCAATGGCAAAGACTTCCAGCCACGAGAGGAAGGGGGTAAATGTGCAGACACACAGGTAGAAGACACATGCGTCATGCACATCTGGAAGCTCAATGGGTCCGCCACACACACAGCATTCAGCGTCA